TAATGATGAGTAGAAATTGTTGAGTGATGGTAAGCCATGTGCTTGTCCCCAGCATAGCACTTCATCACTACCTGGTTTCACCAGGGAATGACCTACACAGTACTCTAAAAATTGATATTCTCATTTCCTTCCATGGAATAAATGTTTAGCTTTGGAAGACAAGAGGTCATATAGTATTTACTTCTAGAATCTTTAATATGATCCTGCCAGGGAATTTTACATTTTAGTAACGAACTATAGAAATAATCCCTGAAAGTATAGTCTTGGGAATTTTACATTTTAAACATTCAAGCTTGGTAATCCAAAGGAATAGATCTTTTAACAGTAGGAGTGGTAAAGGAATTGTCAGATATGCGTCCTGTGCTCTGTGCAAGTGAGGAGTTGCATTGCTGGGAGAAATAGGGACCCCCTACCCCACCCTCTCCCCCTTAAAACCCCCAATGGCTTAAATAAATTAGGGGTCATGTTTATCTCATGCAAAGGCAGGATGCAAATAGGTAGTTCCGGACTGGCATGGCAACGTCATGATACCTCAAGGACTTGGGATTCTACTTTGCCCTCTTCAGGATGTGTCCCTTGCCCTCATACTCCCAAGATAGTATCTGGAGCCAAGCCAATCTGTGCACATATCAGCAGAAGAAGGAAAAGGGCAAAGGGCAAAGGGTAAAGAGCAAAAGGAATATGTCCCAGTTGTGTCAGCAGTCTTACAGACTGTTGGAAGCCCTGTCCAGTCCCTTCTGCTTATACATCACATCCTGTGACCACCCCTACCTGCAAAGGAGGCTGGGAAATGCAGCAGTTTCTTTAATTCTTCGTAACCAAGCACATCGCAACCCTGTAAAAATGGGGTCCTACTGGAAGGTTCGAAGGGGAGACTGGATTGGCTTTTGGAGCGGTATTGGTGGCTCTGCACTGTCTTCATCTATCATAAAGAGTGTCTCAATGTCTCAGTTAGAAAAACACTTCATGGAAGAGATTCAAAGCCTCCAATCCCCACAAGCATTTCTCCATCTGTCCTTTTTTTCTGTCTATCCCTGTTGCGGCACATGGTTCTATAGGGTGAGGCGGTCTCGCAGGAAACTCTTCATTTTTGTCTGTCTACAGCTATGTTTGAAGCGCTTTCCATCACTGGGGCCATTTATATTTAAACCCATTTCTACGGCACAACATCCCATCTAACGACCTCGAGCATTAAACACCTCCTTAAAACTACTCATATGGTTTACTCTTTAGCTTACAACATGGCTTACACCATCCTCCCAAAGAGGCAGTCAAATTGATGGCAGCCACCTGTTCTCCCCACCCCCACCCCAGTTTGAAAGGCCGATGCTGGAGAAACACACAGCTCGCTTTGAAGTCACAACGTGCTAAGCCACTCGGGTAACAGCGGCGACAATTAAGTTTGTCTTTTTATCTGAAACATTTGCCTGTGAGTTTCTAAGTTAATACATTTTGACACTGACCTGGTTTTTTTAGCCTTGATTTTCTTCATTTCAAATTGGTGCGCTTAGCTCCTTCGAAGTTCTCTAAACTAGTTTTTCATTATACATGGTGCTACCTTTCCATGGCAGACCCTGGATTGTGGGCTTTGCTATCCCATTGCCTGTAAGAAAAGCACTGTAAAGTGATTTTCCTGCCACAGCAGCTATAAGGTAAATCATTCCTTTATTCTTACCGTTGCTAAGTTATCTGCTTTTGGCAAGAGATCACAGAGAAACTACAAACGGGTAGAACCACAGTGCATGCAGTCTCGAGGCCTGGCCAGAAATTCTCTCCCAGACCCTATCCCCTTTCATGTAGCTCCCTTCTCTAGAAGGCTCACTCTCCTATCGTCTACAGAGTGAATTTCGCCCTTCTCTCTACATTACTAGTTCATTCCCCTTCACCCATATCATGTCATTGAAATGATCTTAAATAATGACGTAAAAGAGAAGTTGTAGGCCAAGTGTAAAAATGATTTATCAAAGAAAACCGTTGAGTGTTTTTGATGTATGTTAGCCATGTACACCTTTTTTTTTTGTAAAGCTCTTGTATCCCTGAATGTGCTGTAGTTCCCATAATTACATCTTTTATACCAAATAAATTTAAAGTTCATTGAATTCCAGCTTTTACGGAGGACGGAGCTCTGAAATGTGATTGTTTGGAGTGAGGCGTAGATTAGCGGAATGACTTCCTTCTCTCCACGCATGGAAAAGATTATGCCACATTTAGTAAGTACCTACTGGAATTCCTAACTGCAGTTAAATCATGTTAGTGTTTTCCTTTGGGTAGAGGCAGAGTGGTTAAGCCTGCTGAATGATTCCATGTAGGTGAAAACTTGGCGTGGAGCCTTGTAACCCCAGGCAGTGAATCTGAACTCAGCCACACATTTCTACACATCCCCTCGCATCCCTCTGACTAAATACGAGGGACAGAGTTTTAAAGAAGTAGTGGAATTACTTCTGTTTACTCAAGCACTGAACAGAGCTATTAGAGAGAAACCTTCAAGTCCTCTGTGGGATGAGAGTAATTCTTCCACTGCTGTAAGACAGCGATGGAAGTTTTGTGAGCCAAAAGGAAAGCAGCTGAAAGGGCCTAGAAAAATCTTCGTGAGTGTTTTTCCTCTCCTTCGAGTCATTAAAGCGGGCTTAACATATTGCAAATGATTTTTCGTTCAAATGGCTCCTCCTGCCACACATAGCCTGTCAACATAAAGATTCCTGCTCTTTCTTGATTTATTAAAAGTGTTATGATGAAGCAAGGCAAATGCATTCAGAAATGCTACAGTGCTGATGTTTCTAGAAGTGGTAATGCTTTCGGATGTTCCTTTGCCTGGTGGTATAAGTTTTAAAGAGAATTGGTTTGAAGGGAGAATCTTGGAGTTTGAGTCTGCATTTGTCAGCCGTGACCCTGACCCAGTTACATAACCTCTGAGCCTCAATATTCTTATCTGAAAAAATGGGGAAAGTCATATCAAGTTGCAGGTTGTTGAAGAGGTTACACTAAAAGCACCTAGCACAGTGCTTGGCACACAGTAGGGACTCAATAAGTACTCATTGTCTTCTCAATGCTAGTGATATCGTATTACTTTATTAGTAAGATAATTTATTATTTAATTTTAGTAGCACATTATATTTATACAAAATGAAAATCAAGTAAGTTAGGCGAATGCAACAGTTTCTTTTCTAAAAATTAAATTTATTGAAAAGAAAGGAAGTAAACTAAAATTAAATTTATTGGGGTAACATCAGTTAATAACATCAGTTTCGGGTGTACAATGTTATAATACAGCATCTGTATATATTCCATTGTGTGCTCAACACCCAAAGTCTAGTCTCCTTCTGGCACCATATAAATGAAGAGTTTCGTAACAGAGATTTCTTATTTTAGCAGTACACGTAATATTGGCATGGATTGGCAAGTATAGTATGTCTTCAGGGTTAATTACTGCAGCCAAAAGGAAAGTGCATTTTTCCTTGATAATTCTTAGCAAACTCCTCTCCAAAATGGCTGCCCCCATTTTGATTCCCTAGGAAGGTATAGGGGGGTGCCCAATTCTCCGTGCCCTGGTCAGAGCTGTGTGTTATCAGAGTTTTAATCTGGAGGCCTCTACGAGAGCTAAGATAATCTATCATTCTGACACATCATTAGTACAGGATTTAAACCGAAGAGCGCTAGGGAGCTACCAGGAGCCTAAGTCATGAAGTGCTGTATATATTTTAATAACATGGCCTGCCTGTTCCCTCCTATGGGCCTGTACTTCTTTTCACTGTCTAATTGCTGGGTGAAAATACCCTATCCCCCTTCCCTTCACCCCCACTCCCCAGCTTCTTATTTTCTTGCAGGCTTTTGCAGAGAGTTATGTTTCTCAGCCCAAAGTAACACAATCAAGGGATGTGCAGACCCTCCATAATACAGCCCCTTATTGCTAGAGAAACTTCTCTGGGCTGGTCCTATACAAAACCAGTAGAGACTATGAGGCTCACACTTGAGTGTGTGTAAAAATCAGAGCATTGTGAAAAATGAAGATTCATGTGTTTTTCCCCAGTAGTCTCATTCTGTAGGCCTGGGAGGGAACCTGAACTTTTGTTTCCAGCACCACCATTAGGATGCAGGCAGCCCCCAAACCACACCGCTTTAGGAGACAGCCACCTTCTACCCAACTAGCTTCAGTCTCTGGGAAGATGTCTTTTGTGCTCCCCAGTGACAAGTAGGCCCTGGACAGGCAGGTGAGCGTCCCCAGTTCCTGTGTACTCTTTGCTTTGGGGCTGTGATGGATCCTGGGGGTGGGGGTGGGGGTCGGGGGTGAGGGCAGCTGAAAAGCCAACACTGGATGGCAGTGAAGAAAGTATTTATTTGACCTGGTGCTCATTCAGTGGCCTGAAAGCAACTCTCCTTTGCAGGGAGCATCACACATCTTCCCAACTGCTCTCTGCACTTCATACCACTTGGGCCCTTGTGACCTCAACTGAATTGGCAAAACTCTGTGGTATGAAACGATGGCTTGGGAGGGGGAGGAAGGAATGAACTCTTGTTTGTCTTGGAGCTTTCAGCTTTTTAATCGAGTTTGTAGATGTTGCTATTCATTGATTCCACAAGCCGGGCTCCGATGACTTCTGATTCCTTTTGTTTGCCTGACCTGCACCTAGCACATTCCCAGCACATGGCAAGTAGTCATGTTCCTTGAGTGCTCTTTGTATGCACATACTCCTTCGACTGTTGAGACTCCAACTCTGGGCAGACAATTGGGTCCTTGGGCTATCTATGATGGCAAACAAGATGGACCTGTCCTTGCTGTCATCGGGCTTCCATTCTAATTGTCAAGTTCACTGCAAACTATAGTTCTGTCAGGTGATACATAGAAGAATGGACAAGGTTAAGTGGGAATGAACAATCTAACTGGGAGATAAGACTTAGAGAAGAGGTGCCAAACCAAAAAGAAATAAACAACAACAAAAAAATGAATCGTTTTGATCAATATAATAATCTATTTCAGGGTACTTTAAGTCGTTTTGAAGAAGTTCCCAGGATTGACAGGTTTGTCTTCTTAAGCAGTCCTATAATGGATAGGGCTTCTTCACCATAGCTCCTTGGTTCATTCTCATAGGTAAGTAGGTGTCTTTGCCTTTTGTTTTGGTTTGGTTTTTTTGGCCCAATATCGAGGCATGTGCAAAGTTCCCTGTGATCTTTCCAATATCATAGATAATTTTAAGCCCAGACATGGCTTCCAGGCAGATTGTTTGTGTGATCCCCTCCTGCATGTGCTCTAGGAAGCATGATAACTCCTGTCTGGAAGGATGCTTTGACTTCTCTGAGCAGCATGCATTACAGACAGGTGTTACTGTCCATGGGCGGATGGCTTGTGAAGAGCTTGAGCATCCTAATGTGGTTGCTTCTGTGGATATCTCTTCATCACCATGTTTAGGGATGTCTGCTGTTGGGGATCCTGTGAAATAGTGATTTGATTAGTCTGCACATGTAACCCAGATACTCTGTTTTTCTTCGCTCCTACTATACAAATGTGTAGTTGTCAGTACCCATTAAAGTACTTCAGTGCTGCTGACACAGTGACATAGTTAAAAATGCTCTCTTATCCTCAGGGAAGAGGCTTATAATATCCTATTATTGGTACCATTGTAAGGGCATGAGCCCAGAGGTGGCTGTGGAGTTGAAGAACAACATTGCCTTCTGAGAATCAGAACTGGACTATATACCGGAGTGCCAAAAAAATGTATACAAGTGGGCATTTTGGTCAACATTGCTCAAGCAGTGGTTCGCCATAATCAGAAGTGTCTGGACACTGATGGTAGCCACTTTGAGCACCTCCTGTAATTGCAGAAGTCAAACATGACTTGTATTCATCTTTTGTTATCGGTATATATTGAGTATTACAATTTTAATACTTTTTTCCTTTCTTAAAATGTGTATACAGTTTTTGACACCCTCTGTATATAAATGAGGTCTGACAATTCCGATCACGAACTCATCCTAGAAAAAGTGCTGCATACCTCACTGCTGAATATCACTACGGTCACCTTCGAAGTACTCCCCTTGGGAAGCTATGCCCCAACGCCAGCCTAACTTTTTCGGGCAGCCTTTTCAGCGCTTCCAAATAGAAACTTGGTTAACTGTTTGTCCAGTTGGTACAAATTCATAATGAACAATCCCTCTGATATCAAAAAGGTTAGCAACATCAGTGCAAACAGTTTGCGAACGTAATTGTCAGACCTCGTATAAAAAATCAACCAAGGAATCAATGCCTTCTGGCATCATAAGGGGAAATGTTAAGAAGCGATGGTTTACACTCATCAAAATCCGATGATACCTGTTTGGTATTCTGGAGAGCAGCGTCACGCTGCCTTAGAATTCCTAAAGTGACTCAGCAAAGGTCCAGGTCAACTCACCACGTACTTACTAAACACATAATCTCTTCCAGGGGTGCTGTGCTGGGTGCAAGGAGGCGATGAAAGAATGAATCAGGTAAAGTTTCCATTCTCTGTATTTGCTAACCGGGGGACTTTGGGGGGTATCAGTCACAGTGCAGACTGAGCTGATCAGGGTCACTGTAATACTGCTTTTCACATAGGACCTGGGAGTCTGGGTGGCTCAGTACAAGGGGGTGAATAACACAATGCCACCAGCCTGACGTGGCCACCTAAGAACACGATCTCGTTTTACATCTTCCCTAAAATTGTCATATCTGATATAACGGAGCAACCCGGAAATGAATCAAATCTCTCTGAAAATTGTTTTATTGATCTGCCATTCACTTTTTACCATCGGGACAATTGTTCCCTCTCATGTGTGGCCACCCTGCCTGGCTTCTCACTTTTATTCCTTACGTCCCTCTCACGCTGTACCCTCTATCTTCCCACAACAAGAAGCCTCAAAGGAAAGAATTTTGCCTTCTGAGCATCATAACTTTGGACTATAAAAAAGTATCTCTAGAAGTTTTCTCCAGATATTCTCTGAAAAGCCATTTTTATCCAGTCAGCTATTGCTCTAATTTACTTAAAAACAGGAACGTGCGTTTTGCACCAGGGCAAGGTGAGGCAGGAATCTCAATCTGAAATAGGCTGTTGAGTGTGCGTTTTACCACATCAGGCAGCTGACACCAAATTGACCGGCACTGAAGCCTCACGGTAACGCGAGGATTTCGGGTGACTTCTTGTGGGGAGTGAGATGCAGCAACCTGAATCAATACTCAAACAAGTGTCCAAACTGTTTTGGCTGGAGACTAATCCTTGACAAACTTATTCACAGGAGCCTGTCGATGGTGTAACTGCAGATACCTACGTGGAGCCACCTTCGGAAGGAAGTGAGAGTTGAGCTCCATCCCCCGAGGAGTTCGATGGAGTAAGGATGTTGGGGTGGGGAAAGATGGGAGTTAATGAAGGTTGCTGCTGAAGGGCCAGGGCCTAATCCTGGAGGACCTTGAATCCCACGTCAGGAAGAGGCACTACTTTGGGTGGGTGGATAGAGAATAGTAACAAAACAATTAAGTACTGACTTTGCGTCAAACACTAAGCTACTATTTTGTATGGATGATGTCATTCAGCTCTTAGAATGATGCAGTGAGCTGAGGCATGGAGAAGCTAAGTGATTTGCTTACATTACACAGCAAATAAACTGTAATGCTGAGATCTGAGCTCATCCTGACTCGGAATTCAAGTTCCTGCGCATCTGTTACATAGCTGGACAGCATTTCTGGACTTCTCTGCTCTGTGACTAGTTATGGCCTCCCAGTGTCAGGCAATGTGAGTGCTTACATTTTCGGGACTTTGTTTTAATGAGTATGAGTGTCATCCTTTCTCAAGGTAATCCTTCCTGTTTAGAATCTGTGTTGTGTGCAGGGAATTTGATGAAAAGGGAAGGGTATGGACTTTGGAATTCCAAGGTGGGATTTGTCCTTAAATCAGTAGGGCGCTTCGGAGTGGTGGGACTTTGGAGCAAGATACTGAACCTCTCTGAGCCTTAGTTTCCTCATCTATTGGGTCCAGAGGAAAATGCTCTCCTTAGACATATCATGAGGATTTGTAGCAATACATATAAGGTATTTAACATGGCATCTGGTTGAGAGCAGGCACTGGATAAATGATGATATTATCACTCATTTCCTTGAATCTGCCCGCAGGGCTTCGGTATAATCCTCTGTCATCATGGCCGGGGTTCAGCTGTCCAGACTGAGTTACAGATGAGGCAAAAACCACCTTTACCTTGTTTCCATGTCCTCTGGCGAGCCTGCGCCACCAGGGTCACAGGCAGAATGTGTTTCAGACGCTGGGACATGTGCCTTAAAAAAAACAAAAAAAACCTACTATTGTAAATGCCCTTTTTTTTTTTTTTTTTTTTAAATAAACTCAACTCACAACAACCTCCCATGCCATCTTAGAATCTCCCCAGGCAGGGCTGCAGCTGGTTGCCTTAGCAGTAGAAAGTACTCTCCCCAGGCTATGGTTCCACTTGTGAAATTGAAGTCTCTGAATTGTGACTGAGGATGGTAAGAAACTTCTTTTAATGATGGTGCAAGCTGGTGAGGTGTCTTGGCATCGGCTAAAGCAGGGTTTTATCGGGTCTCATCACTGTACATGTTTGGGCTATCTAGGTTGGCACTCTCGACTTCTGTTGGTTCAGGACTATTTGGTTTTTGGAAAAACAGGCAGAAAAGTTCTAGGGGTCTGATTGGCAGCAAGTGTACAGTGATTAGCACACTGCTTGTATACCCGTCTTGTACATGAGATGTCATTTCAGGACAAGATGGCCTCCGTTCCAGAGGAAATGGCACATCCAGTTGTCTGCAAACCATACTTGATGGTGATCTCATCATCTGCTATTACCTTGGTTTCTTGCTTCATTTCATCACCTCAGTATTGACTGATTACAAAGGGGCCAGGTGCTTCAGGGAAAGCAAAGCAGATGAATGGCTTCCTACCTCTGTACCCAGCTCTTGTGGGAGGGAACCGAGGTGCATACCCCAAGTGTACAAATAAGTACTTTGCAAAGTACTGGACGAGGAAGGGCTTAAGGGATATAACAGCCAAGTCCCATGGAGATTAGAAAGAAGCCTGTTAAATTCAGGGGTGGGGAGTTGGGCAAGTTTCAGAGAGAACAACGCCTTCCTTGTGGTTAGAAGATAATGTGTTAGTAGCAGTAAAACAGGTAAGAGGCAAGTAGGTCATAAATAAAATCATACTCTGTTTATTGCAAAAACAACTCTGGACTAACCTGACCCTTAATCACTTTAGCATATAAGAACAGAACAGGGAGCAGAGAGCTATGGCTTTTCTGACACACTGCAGACTCGGCCCCAACAGACAAAATGGGATTTTTAATGCACGAGGTTTCAGCTTATTCAATGACCCCTAAGTACTCAAATTTAAATACACCTGAGTGCACAGATTTCTGAAGACCAGTGTTATCTCTCCAGAGGGCAGACAGATGTTTTCCTAGAGAAAACATCACTAGTGTCGGGGAATCTCTAATCCACCATTCTGAGTTTCGCTCCTAACACCTTCAACCCTAAAATACAGCAAACCTGGTTTGGTGACATATCGATATGGTCTTTGCTGGCTTTAAAAAAAAACCACACACCAAAAAACCCTCTTATTTTTTCTTTTAAGGAAAGACCTACTTTTTTCTTCCTCAAATCGTTTGTCGCAGAAACATGGACAAACCCAATTAAACGAGGAGCCACATCCCACTTTATCACAGTTTTATTGTGGGCCTGGACGGGCCCTTATGATTCTCCTCTGGGCTTTATGTTCTGGCTTGGCTGGAGTTTTATAATTGGAGATTTTTCCGTTTGACTGTGGCCCTTCAAGTCAATACCGTACGAACTTTTCATTTTAAATCATGATGAGTTTGAAGGGAGTCAAAGCAGATGTGAAGGCCCTGGTTTGGCCTGGAGCCTCACCCCAGGAAACAACCTCAGCTGCTTCTCTGTGATCCGCGGGGATAGAGCGAGATAAAAAGTGACTTGTGGCCATTCCATTCAGTACCTACCCATTTGCCCACATTACTCACTGTCTAGCAGGAAGATCCCCCCAAGAATCAGAGCTTAAATCGCCTTTCGGTCACCGTAGACATTGGATGGGCCCAGCTCCGTTCTTCCTGTCTTCTCCCATGATGCCTCTGTGCTCATTTCTTCCTTTCTTCTATTCCCCGTTCTCCTGGAAACCTGAGTTGTTGCTCATCTGACTTGCTGCCGAGGGTGCTTTTTAGCCCACTCTCCATTGTGACCATTCCAAATGTCCTCCATTGCCTGGTGCCATCAAATGTCCCCTTTCTCTTTTGTATCTGTCATCTTGTCCCTCCTCTCTGGCGTATCCTTGCCTTGACAAACCCCTCCGTGTTTCCTCATGTCTTAATAAAAACAGAGATTAAAAATAAGGAGACAGCGACAGCAAACACACTTTCCTAGATGTGTTATGGTCGTTTCTGATTTCCTTGACGTCCAGACTTCCTGTGAAACTCGGCTTTCTAAGGTTTTATTTCTCCCACTACCTTTTGCTTTCCTCTCCAAGCACTGTAGAAAATCTGCTCTCCGGAAGGCTACCAGAGGGTTCCTCTCATCCAGTGCAGCGGCAGCTCCTTGTTAATTGACTTTCTATGAAACCTGATGTGCCTGACAGCCCTCTTCCTACCCCCTCATCCTCCCGTCCTGGAGAGAGTCTCCTGGCTCCGCCTCACCTCTCCCAGCTGCCCCTCAAAGGCACCGTGCCTCAAGGTTCTGTGCCTGGCCTCTTTTTCGTTAGGCTGCCCTGTCTCCCAGGTCATCTCATTTATGCCCAAATCTTCTGATATCACGTCTATGCGAATGGCTCCTAAATCTGGATTTCTAGCCCTAATTTCTCTCCTGATTAAGGAAGACTATTGAAAAACTTTGCATTCGCGTATGCATACAGGGTCCTTAAACTCAATAGCACCTACATCCAGCTATTGTTCTCCTTTAACCTTGCTCCCTCCTCTGCATCTCCTCTCTGTTCATTACATCTATCTCAAAGCCAAGCAAGCCAGACGCCCCTGACGTGTCCCTCACCTTCACCTGCCTCATTAATCAGTCTAAAGTACTGTCAGTTTCACTGCCAAACATTCCTTAAATCATGCCTTTTTTTGGTCTTTGTAGCATTACCCTAATGAGGGTTTGGAATGAGGGTTTGGAATATTTCATTAGTCTGCTGGTTTCTAATCTCTCGTTTCTCCAATCATCATTTCCACTGATTCTAAAGCTCTTTTTTATTTTTATTTTTTTTAAGATTTTATTTTTATCATTTTTTTTATTGGGGAATTGGGGGGATGGGAACAGAGCTGGGGAATTGGGGGAAGGGGAACAGACAAGTTGCTGTCCTTTTGTTCTTCAGTCTAGTTGTGGAGGACGTTGCTTCACTGGCCCAAGTTGGCACCATCATTGCACTCTTCCCGGGCGAGGCAGATCAGTCGCCGGCTTCTGGACGGCCGCTCACTGCGGCTGCTGGCCGCTCACGCTGGCTGCCGGCTACACACGGTAGCCCATGGCAACCCACTGCCACAGGGGCTGCAGCCTACGCCGTCGCAGGCGACTCACGCAGCCCAGCTCCATGTTGAGCTGTTGTTCAGCATCTTAGCCGTGGAGGGCAGTGTCACTGGCCCTCATATGTGGGATCCGAACCGGGTCCCCTGGTATCCCAAGCCAGTTCTTAACCATCGCGCCACTCGGCTGGCCCTAAAGCTCTTTTTTAAAGACATAGTCCAAACCATCTCACCTTTTACTTCTTGCTTTCCACAGCTTCCCATTGTCTTAAATTTTAGCTCCCAAGCATGGTATTCAATGTCTTCAATTACCCTCTGTATCATTCTAGTTTTTTCTCCATGTATTTATGTGCAGTTGAGAACACAGCAGAGTACACACCTTCCGGTCTCCTGACCTTTGACCTTGCTATTCTTCATGTCAAGTAGGCCCTGTGGCCTCCCTGCTCTGTCCCTTGTTCAGATATTACCCCTTTCCTAACTCTGCCCTCATACCCGCAACACAATTCCCTACTCTGAACTTGACAACATATTGTATTGGACACAGCAGGATAGGAAGGAAAAGAGGCCTGATTTTTGCATCAGACAACTTGAATTTAAATTCCCCTCCACCGCTTGCAAGTTTTGCAGCTCACTGTGGCTTCCAAGTGGCCCTGGGAGACGTTGCCACCCCCATGCTGTGCTCTCAGGAGATGGCAGCTCCATTTCCCAGTGGCTCGAGTTACAAACGTGGCAGCCATTCTCAACTCTTCTCGTTTTTCCACACCCTACGTCTCATCCATCAGCAAATTATGTGGGATTTGCTTTCCCAATGTCAGAATCAGGCCACTTCTCTGAACCTC